CTAACATTTCTGACTTGATTTCGTTGTTCCTATCAATTACGTTGCTGGCAAAATGTCCGAAGATGATATCAATAAAATTAGAGATTGTTGTTAATTGCCACAGATCATAAAACAAAGAAGGTAGTAGAGTTTTATTGTTAATAGCAGGGGTCGGTAACTTTTTGCTATGTAATGACTTAGGGTTTTAAAATCATTCAGTGTGCCAACAGCACATCGTCAATATATCTGTTCTACAATATATTTTATATAGTAATAGATAGTAGATATACTTTACTATATAGTAAAACTGAAACAGCTAAATATCTTCTTTGCGCTGTAGTAGTTATTGGATCGAACTTCGTTATATCATTTGCGGCTGCGTGACGTTGGAAATTGCTTGGCGTGCCACGTTTAGCACGCGTGCCGTAGGTTGCCGACCCCCCCCCCGGTTAATAGGAACGTGAACGCCAAAGAAGGGCATTAGTGACGTCACAAAGCTGAGATTAACTGACAAAGTTTGATAATAAATAGAAACAGAGATACGCATTTGATCATTCGACCTTTCTGAACAAATGGATATGAAATCTGGCAAGATCGATAGAGATGACAAGAAAATGTCCTTATTGACAAAAATTAAACACCCATATCATTGATTTCGCCAAATTGGATTGATTTGTATGGGAAACAAGCACTAAATTATGCAAATTTATAGGCAGTCCTTGAAAATGCAAGAAGCAACAGATTTCTGAGAGGTTCATTATTTGATGAGCAAATAAATTAAATAACAGGCAAATTAAATTGCATGACAGAAAAATATATGAACGAGGATTAGGGAAGATACATCACTAAGTCTGGAACCTCATGAAAAATAAAGACAGACAAATATACACGCATATACACGCACACACGCACATATATATATATATAATAGATGGTTAATGGTTAGAGATGAATCTGACCAGGAAACAATGGTATTAAAAAGTGTTCAATACACGAGTGAAAAAATAAAACAAAAGTAAAAATAACATGTAGAGCTTTTAATTTTAAAAATCAAGAGGTCAGTTGAATCCGGTACCTTGGTTTCAACCTTACGGTATCCTCAAGTGATTTTTAGCAAATGACCTGTTGACGCTTTAGTATCTGTCTATATTTCCTCAAGGACACGGTGGATAAAGGCGTTGGTTAGATCCAGTAACAGGACCCAAAGTGTGTGAGTTGAATACCCGGTTAAGTCAGTGGAGAACTTGCAGAGGGGAATTAACAGGAGATAACTGATAAGTGACATCCATTAAACATGGCACGTGGAACTAGAACAGTCTACCCCAGGGAGCGAAAAAAAAAGGGTTTAGTTCGACATTCCAACCACCTGAAGAAGACCGGAGCGTACAACGGCCGAAACGTTGTAGTAAATATGGCGACAAAGATGAGCACAATAGTCCGAATAATGTAAATAGTCTTAACGCTTTATTTAAAAAAAAATAATGAACGTTATATTATTTTTAAACACACACACACAAACTCACACACACACACACACAATAATAGTTATTTACTTATCTGTATGCGTA